AGGAGCAGCTAACTTCTGGGGTCAGGGCCCACTTTACTCTCTGCTCTAGTGAATGAGGCTTTAGGGGGTGGGGTGCAGGCGCACCTCTCTGCTTGGCTGCTCATTTGCATGCCGTAGTTTCACACCGAGTTTGATGACTGCCTTCCCGAGTTTGATGACTGCCTCCTGTTCATCCCCCCGGACGCCCTGGGGGTGACTGAGGTTTGGGGAAGCCACGTGAGACACTTAACAGGAAGTGACAGCTGTTAACGCAGTTATTCGGAGGGGGGAGTGATTCGGCCACCCGGCTCCCTCCAGCCTGAATCTGCTGTCGTCCAGTGTCCATGTTCCTCGCCGGTCTAATCCAAAGCCAGATGATTCGGACTCGCATTTGAAATTGTGACCATTCGCAGCACCCAGCCTGCCTGAGGCAGGGGCTTTTACACTACTCTCATCTAAAGGTGAAAATTAGGAAATGTGGAGTAAATACTAACGGAATGCACTACTAAGGAACCGTGGAGCATGCTGAGAGTCATAATCGTTGGTTTTCTGGTTTGATTTCCTTTCTTAGAGAAACATCAAAGCTAAGAAAGATGATTTTATCTTTACTGACCCAATGTAAATATGTATCTAGACTCTTTTTAAATGTGTTTCTTCATGAATGCTTCATTTGGCTCCAGGAGGCCTTTGTCACCTGTGTAAGTTGGTATTTGGGCACTTTATATTTTTCTAAAAACGTGTTTTGGATCCTGTACTCTAATAAATCATAAGTTTCTTTTTCAAATTTTTCCAAAAATCTTCTCCATTTTAAAAAGCCCTGTTATAAAAGTAGAACTTTCGCAATGTTAAAAGATTAAATATTTGGATATAGTAACTTCTCTTCCAATGAATGCCAAGATATTTTTTTTTTTGTACAATGATTAATAAATGGAACTTATCCAGAGAAACCAGACAAATGGCATGCCCAATTTCATTCCAGAACAGAAGGCCCCGCCAGGGCAAGTAGCAAAAGGTCTAACTTCTCTTCTGATCAAAATAGGCAAAAATCTGCTCTGCCGAATTTTTCTTAACATTGGTGAGTGAACAAGTTACCTTCAGACTAATTTTCCTGCCAAACGTGAATTTCATAAGCTCACTAGTTAGTAATCTCGAGCGTGTCTGGTTATAATGCAAAGGTCACAGTTGTTAAATCATGTGAAAGTGTGTGTTTGTGAAGTGAGAACTGCAAATGCTTCGGGGGAAACCTGGGTCCTGGGGCTGTTGCTCGTTGTCGCCCTGACTGACAGCCGGGCGACCCAGCGTGTCCAGCGTGTCATGCGGAGTCTCGATGCTTCGTGACGTCACTCCATCCTGCGTGGAAGGAGGTCGTGAGCTAAAGGGCGTCCAGTTCCCTA